TAATTTTTATGGCATTGAAGATAAAGTTTTAACAATTACTTTTGATAATATATCAGCAAACACCACTGCTATGAATAATGTTCAAAGCAAATTTGAAACTACCTTTTGGTGGAGAATTTTTTCATCAACGTTGTGCATGTCATATAATAAATTTAGTAGTACAAGCTAATATTGAATCTATATCCCATCATCTAAAAAAAATTAGAAAAGCGTTATCTTTCATATCTAGTTCTGAAACTCGGCTCCAAGAATTTTGACAATAGAATAGCCAGATGCGGCCAAGAAAGTTTCTAACAGATGTGAGACATAGGTGGAACTCCACCTACTTAATGTTGAAAACTGCAATTCCGTATCAACAAATCATCACTACGTACGTGAAGAGTAAGCATGGTGAGTATTTTATTTATGATGCATATCAGAAAATTGGTGAGTACTTTTTAAAATTTTTACAAGTATTCTACAACGCTACCGAATTACTTTCTAGTGTGTATTATCCTACTGCGCATCTAGCTTTGCATCAATTATTTAATATTTCAGAAACATTTGCTTATTACAGGGATACTGATCTTTTTGCACCCATAGGTTATGAAATGGAAGCTAAATTTAAAAGTTATTGGGCCATTTGTCCTATTTTATATGCATTAGTAATAATTTTAGATCCTAGATGTGGATTAGATGGGACTGAATGTTTGATGTCTGCTACAACAGATAATTTATATATTGATATGGAACTAACCATTGACGATGCTAGGAAAATGTTAGAACACTTATTTGCATTGTATGAAAAAAAATACGAAACAGGACAACAAGAACAGGCAACTTCGACGTCAATGAGCAATTCATGGCCTAAAGTTCATCGTGGAGTTTTTTGAAGAGGAAGGAGAAAGCATCAGGATTGTCATCAATACATGGAGCGTCTTCAGAATTAGTCAAATATTTTGAATCAAATTTTGTAATTGATGATGACAAATTAGACATCTTACAGTGATGGAAGAGCAAGACAGATTATTTTCCAACACTATCTATGATAGCACGTGATATTCTGACAAGTCCATTATCAACGGTGGCATCGAAGCTAGAATGATGGGCAAGAGCCACATACGGTTTAACAAAGCTGATATGCTGAATAATTAAATAGCTTTGACATATTAATTAAAGCATAACAATAATTAAAAAGCTATGAAATAAAAAAAAATAAAAAATAAAAAAGAAGCTCTGACATATTAAAATTAAAAAAGAAGAAGATCAGCTCTATATATCCTTGGTCCGATACAGAGGTTAAAGTGGCTTCGTTGACGATGAGTGGTTTAGTAGCTACGTCTGATCAGTATATAGTATTTGTCCAACTCAGATTGCAGAGAAGCAAAGAATAGAATTATTCAGATGTAGAAGTAATTTCTTTATTCTTATTCAGTTCAAGAAAATGTATTTGACTAATTTCGCTCCAGGCACCGGCAATCAAATCTGACCGTTCTCTCTACTCTTGCTTTGTTCACTTAATTACCCGGGAGAAACAGTGTTATCAGAGCACCTTTTGCTTTTTTTTTTTTCTCTCTTTTTTTCTTTTTCCATAACTTTTGCCTTTAACCATCCGTTTAGTTACGTTTGTCAAAAGCTTTTCTTAGAATTAACACTGGATGGACAGGCAATTAGGACAGACGAACTGTGTTACTATATTTGTATATAGAATGAGAGTGACTTTGAGAAGAGAAGCATCTAATAATTTAATACCTATCTAGTACTCCATTTATAACTATTATTCCCTTATTAATATCTCACGCCAAAAAGCAAACGCGAAAAACCAGATCATTTTCCGATAAGGAGATGTCACTTTCTTGAGTCTTAATTATCTGTCTCCTATAATAAAATAAAATGAATCAACCCCACTATTCCATGTTAGGCACAGAAATGCAAGAAGAACAAAGCAACAGCAATAACACTGACAGCAGCAGCACTTCCACCGCAGCCGCCGCCATGACCCAGCTGCAAAACTCTTCAAAATAAAACCCTTCCTTTTCCTCGCCTCCGCCGCTGTTGGCCTCCTCACCGGCTTAAATGACTGCATCTACGCCTACGGCGTCGCACGCCTCCCCGTCTCCACCTCCTCTCTCATCATCGCCTCCCAGCTCGTCTTCACCGCCGCCTTCGCCTACCTCCTCGTCAAGCAGAAGTTAACATCGCATTCCGTGATCGCCGTCATTTTGCTTACTATCGGAGGCGCCGTCTTGGCGTTCCACACGAGCGGCGACCGGCCTAAGGGGGAGAACAGCAAGGAGTACTTGGTAGGGTTCCTCATGACTTTGGGGGCAGCGGTGCTCTACGGCTTCATCCTGCCGTTGATGGAGCTGGTCTACAAGAAGGCGAAGCAGGAGATTACTTA